CAAAGGTTTAGTGGACTCTTTCTAAAAATATGGAGTTTAGAAGCTTTGTCAGCATTGTTTTATCTGGGGTCTACAGGCATTAAGGATATCACGAAGGTAGATTGTAGATTGAGACGTTTGATCAAAATTTGAAGATGAAAATTTGATTGTAAAACGAGTGGTCAGCAATGAGTAGTAACGCGGCCAAGCCATGTTATACTGGAAGTATTCAGCATTCAATCAAAATCGTTTAGTGATACAATTTATGAAACGTGATTTTTTATCACGGCCGCCCACAAATTTTTGCAGCAAAAATCTCGACACCAAGCGTTGCAGTGTCCATAGTCCGCGGAATGTTGGTACAGTGGTCAACTTTTAGTTGTGGCCCACCAGTGGACGAAAATGATGACGCTTCTGAGATAATTACCGCTAAACACTTAAATGGACTAGTAACAAAAGTTATGTGACAACTTTGAGCATTCGTACTCGCAGATCTTGGTAACAAAACCCTCGACGCCAGGCGCTGTAGTCTCCGTAGGCCGCGCAGCGTCGGCCCAGCAGCTAATACTGAGCTCTGGCCAACGAGTGAACAAAAATGGTGACGTTTCTGGAAGAAGTACCTTTGAACGCCTCAGGACATCAAATCTGAAATTTAACACGCGCTCGGGTGGGGGGTCAAATTGACCTCCCCCCTAAGGGTTTTTCCAGAATAGGTTCCGAACGGCCCGGCGTAGCCACACCAAATTTTGCATAGCTGTGGACAATCAAATACCGGATCGTTTGGCATAAGAAATTTAAATGTACCCTGCAAGGTCGCTGACTTATGGCGGGTCAAAATCAGACTATGGTTTCAGCGCAGGCAATTTCTAGGGAAACCTTAAATCTGATCCAACAACGGTGTGTAAGACGAAGCCATACATCTCTGAGATGCTTTCTTAGGGCAACGCAATAGTTGAATAAGCAAATTGAATTGACCTAAGGTCAGGTATGAAGGTCACACCCAGGTCAAAATCAACCGGTTTTGTTACTCTAGAGCCTGCTGTATGGAATAGTTTCTGGTGCTCATTTTGAGCTTATTGATAGTAGGAACCGCATTACACATTTTAAATGGACTTCTCAGAGGTCAGAATAGTTCATTGACCTAAAATGACCCAGATCAACATTTTGTTTTAGAAACATGCTGCTTAGCGTAATCTGTGTCGCTTAGACAAATGCAAAACTCGAAGCATTCTTGTATGATTTGTTCACCTTGACCTTCAAAAGGCCAAACAAGGTCACTGACCTTGAATGAGAATGTGACCTTTTGCTTAGAAACGGTTATCTAGGTTCTGGGGGCACTTTGGAGACCACCCTGAAACTTGGCCTTGTTTGACCTTTTATGATCCGAAGGTCATGACCTAGGAACTTGAAACTTTGACTTCAGTGAATTCACGTACAGGTCAACACACCCTGTAAATTCGGTGTCTCTGGTTTTTTTTTTTTTGGTTCCCGTGATCTCAGACGGGTCAAATTGACCCCCACCCGAGCAAAGGGCATCTAGCCGACCACCCGGGCGCGTGCTAAAGGCAGTCCGCGCGCATATGTCACGTGTGTGATTTTTAGACCGGTGGTAAGAACGGATTGGCATTTAAAACACACCGAACCATGCTAAAATCTGGTGGTAGAACTGGAACAGTAAAGGTGCAATCTTTTTTTCCGTGTTCCTGTAACTATTAATCTGTCCGGAAGGCAGATGAACGCGGCGCCCGCCGTCTGGTGGCAGTTGCAGTTGCCTACACCTCACGGTTTTTTGGAAGCTGCAACCCAGGCCATCGCTGTCCTTGCTCTCGTGCTTGCGGGTGCCCAGGTTCTAATCTTTTGATGACATTTGTTTGCCTAATGCGAAAAAATGGAGATTGTTAGGCAAACATGCGGTGGTTTTGTTCGTTTTCACGTCATTCTGACCCACTCTATTCAACATTAATGAGACCCTTACTCCAATAAACAATTATGAGACCCTTGCTCTAATCAGCAATAATGAGACCCATTATTTCCTTCCGGGCAAGGGGCTCCTTGAGTAGAACAACAGGGACGCATTACTGTTTACGGCCAAGGGCTGAAGGGACATCCCGCCCCGTCGCGCAATGCCTTCCGGCTGTAATTTTGGCGACACGAAGCTGGATCTCCTGGTCGATCCGGAAGCCATTAGAAGGGTTAAATCATATCACCTTGTTCCCCTCCCTGACACGGGGAGGTCCTCTGACCCACGCAGTTGGCCCCGGATCAGCACAGAAACCCTTATTGACGCAACAACATCCCTGATCGCCGCAGGGGCCCAATAACTGTCACATAGACTTCAGTTCCATGTTTTTTTCCGTGGTCTTCAGAGATATTGAGGAATCCCTGAACGTAGATTAGTGACGTAGTGTTTTTGATGGAGTCCCGAATTTGCATCAACGTGACTAATCCATGTTCGTCTTAAGATGTTAAAGATTCGGTCAGATTGATTACTGATGAAAAGCATGTAATATGGTTTTAAACATGCGCGCTCGCAAGTCATAGCAGTAACAGCCCCGACATCCAGCGTTGCAGTCTCCAGGCCGTGCGGCGTCGGTCCTGCAGTTGTGACATTAAGTGATAGCCAATAAGCAAACAAAAAAGATGAAGCATTTTGTGGAATATGGTTGGTGAGCTAAGCAATTTTTCATGTACATTTAATGTGGTGCAAAGGTAGAGTAAATCACAACGAACAATCTCGGTGTAGCGCCACGCTCACGGTGTAACATGTGCTCTTATGCCCCCCGCATTACGCGTCGAACGTCTGGCGTGCTTTGGCCCGTTCACGCCATATCTGATGCTATCCGATTTACTATGTGACAGCTCACCATATATCGGGCATATCTTGGAATTTGTGTCGCATTTTAAGCTCTGCGCTTGATATACAAATACCTAAGGAGCTCACACTATGCATAAGGAGTTATTAAGCTGTTGAAAACTCTGATTAACATTTTGTTATAGGCGCTAAATGATCGTGCAGCCGATGCGCCATAAATCCCAAATAACTAACCTGTCTAGTGACATGTGTAGCCGCGTTGCACCTAACCTGGAGTCTGAAAGTGCCAGGTAAGCGCTCATTTCCTTAGATCATTGAAACCAGAAGCGATTTTGGCTACCGCGATATGATGGTGCTCATGAATTATTGGCCAAGACAATTGTGATTTGACTGATAAAATTATGGGTCTTGCCTGTTCTGATCATCATGCAAAATTGCATTCCTAAAAGGCAGCAAACTGTGCTAATTATCTTAGCACCCACTGAAGTATGGCAGCTTTGTGCACATTTTTTCCAATGGAAATCAGTAAATTTCTCAAATTTAAGACACTCAGTTCTAACCAGGCTGCTGCTAATTTTTTTCTTTCGCAAAATCCTTACAGGGACTTTTCCACGTTTACACGGCGTTTTGAACTGAAATAGCCACCTTGAAAACCTTACGGTGTTGTTTACAATTCAGCCCTCCTTGGGACCCCAAGTCCCTCCAGTTTCTCGGCTACACTCCCGCGAAAATGGGGAGAGTATTTCTGTGATGGTATTTCAAAGCTACCTTGCCATTCATGAGATCATAAAAACGTCATTAAAATTCTGCCATCCCATAAGCTATCCGACAAATAAGACCAAGAAAGACAGGATAGGACAGGATATAATTGTCGAGGCATTCATATCTGGCGTGCGTGAGCACAATTTTCAGATGTAACGGCCGTCAACTGAATCTCAATGAAGTTGTGCAGCGTTCAATGACGTAATCAAAACATGATGCATTGATGAGCATATTGCCTAAGCAGAATCGTGATGTCCAGAATAGCTTTTTCCACTTAAAAAATAGACCAATAGTTATAAGTGAGCTTGCCTCATCACATCTGATGACTCCTTCAATGTCTTCAAATGTGAAGCATTCCCTTTAAGGTGGAAGCGGACTAGTCGGGATGCAGTTGATTTGTTTCTGGTAAGGCGGAGTGGACCGGATTGCGCTGAGCAATGTGGAACAACTTGATTGGCGGGCAGATCTTGTCTGGATTGGCCAGGCTGCAACGGACCGGCAAATAACAAGATGGCACTAACATAGGAGAATAAATTGACACATTGTAAGTCCAGGATATCTTTTAAACTTATCATACATTATTAATACATGCTGTTGAAAATGCTAGCTGGCTCTGTTCAAGCACAACATACAGAACACAATGATGCTGATTAGAACCACACAACGCATATATTGACGGTCCAAGTTACTGGACAGTAAAACTTCCGTTCATGTGTTCATAACAAGCAAGGCAACGCAGTGTCCAACCAGGCTGCTCAGCAACAACAGATAGTGCCGACCAGCGCTGCTTTCTGAAATGTCGGTGCATATAGAATGATTCATATCATGGCTGACCACCAGTTCATCGCACCCGAGGGTGCCTGACAACTGCAAAAGCAGTATTCCGTAGGGGCACTTTTTCCGTAGGGACAGTTGCGGGCGAAATGATAAAGTTTTCTTGGAACAATGAGAAAGTTTTCTGGGAATAAAACCGGTTGTCAAGACCTAGATCTGGCCTTCATGCTTTACCCAATCAAAGTAAATAATTCCAATACCAATAGTGTAATTTTCACTGCAGTCATCTCAAGGTCATATCCGTTACTTTGCCTAACGATATTCTCGCACCGGCATCAAAGATTCCCTAGGAATGCCATTGTTGGCACTCTTGGCTTTACTTTGGCCTGAAACAAGTCAGTGACTTTACGAGAGAGAGAGAGAGAGAGAGAGAGAGAGGAGAGAGAGAGAGAGGAGAGAGAGAGGAGAGAGAGAGGAGAGAGAGAGAGAGATATATATAATATATATATATATATATATATATATATATATATATATATATATATATATATGCGTGTGTGTGTGTGTGTGTGTGTATGATGTATTTGTATACAAGCACCAGGCATTTCGCGAACGGAACAAAGAACACCTGGTGCTGCACAGCATGTTGGAATAATAATAGGTCATGTTTCAGGTACTATTTGTGGCCACATCGTGCGCCTTCGTTAGCACGATCGACGCCAATTGCGACTGCCGGCCACGGGAGTTCTGTCCACCGGCTTACGGACAAGACTGGGTGCGGCAGTGTCGACTGCCGGGCGGTCGCCTGGGCGCGTGCTGCAGCCTGTCGGCATTCGCCGAGTACACTTCTGGGGTATCGCGACCTAGCAGCCGGTATCATGCCCCTCCGCCAAGCGGCGGAGGAGAGTACAATGCACGGGGGTGCGTTCCGTTGGTGCTGTGCCCGAAAGCGGCAACTACGCCCGCCGAGCTCGCGCAAAGAGGCTGCCAGCTGCGCGACGGCTCCCTCGGCATCTTCTGCACGTTCGACGGACAGAAGCTGCCGGCCAGCGGTATGCGCCCGGCGGCGCAGGGCCAGCTTCGGCCGATGCCATCCAGGGTGTCCGGCGCTGCTGACGCACCCTTCGTGCTGGGTGCGCCGACGGAACAGGAGCTGACCGCGGCAGGGGAGGCTGGCCTTCAGGCAGTCAACGCCATAGCCCCCACCACTTCCCAGCTGCTGAACAGCGACCTGGCGCCCAACGACAATAGCCCGACAGCGTTGTTATTCATCAACGCGCAGTCTAGTGACTTGGAGCAGGCTCTAGGAAGGCAGGGCTTGCAGTCAATTATGGCGGTGGCCAGCCTGCAGGAGCAGATGGTGCGCCGCACCAAGCTTGGGCAGGGTGCGAACGTGGCCGGTGGCAGCAGCGGCAACAGCACCGGTTCCCGACAACTGCCGGCCCAAGTGCCCAACTGCATCCCCGAGGAGCCCATCAGCTGTGAAAACAGTTTTTACCGCACCATCACCGGCGAGTGCAACAATCTGCAGAGGCCGCGACTCGGTCGATCGCTGACCGGTCAGAAGCGACTCCTTCCCAACACGTACGACGACGGTCTGTTCGCGATCCGAACGAGAGCAGTCCGCGGCGGCACACTGCCCAGCGCTCGGTTCGTAAGCGAGCGCGTGTTGGACACGTTCTCCAATGAGCTGAAGCACTTCACACTGTCCATCATGCAGTTCAGCCAGTTCGTTAACCACGACCTGTCGCGCGCGCTGATGTTTCGCCTCGACTCTGGCAAGGGGATCCAGTGCTGCGAGAACGACGGCAAGACATTGCCGCCGGTGCCTCGGCACCCTCAGTGCATCCCCATCCCCATTCCGGCCGATGACCCGTTCTACAGCCAGTTCGGCCAACGCTGCATGAGCCTGGTGAGATCCATGCCGGCGCCCCTGCCAGACTGCATTCCGCGACCGGCCAGACCGCTCAACGAGATTACTACCTTCCTGGATTTGTCCAACGTATACGACAGCCAGGAGGCGAGAATGAATGAATTGCGGGCGTTTCAGGACGGCCTGATGCGAAAAAGTCCGGGTGAGCTGCTGCCAATGTTGGACCCGGCCTCAATGTGTCGTGCTTCCATCTGCTTCCGAGCTGGCGACAGGCGTGTCAACGAGCAAAGTGGCCTGGCCCTCATGCACACGATTTTCTTGCGCGAGCACAACCGAATCGCAAAAGCACTCAAGCGCGCCCACCCCGCCTGGGACGACGAGCGCCTGTTCCAGAGCGCTCGACGCATTTTTGGAGGCGAGTGGCAGCACATCATCTACAATGAATGGCTGCCGGTTATCATCGGATTTGACTATGCCAGTGCGTATGGTCTTCTGCCTCTGCAGTCCGGTTTCTCTTACGGTTACGACCCGAGTATCGACCCCAGCGTCTCTATCTCGTTCGGTTCTGCTGCTTTCCGATACGGTCACAACATGGTGCGAGACATGTATGACCTGATAGACGCCGACGGTCAGGTGTTCCAGGTGGTCAACGTCACCAGGACCTTTTTTGATCCGACTGTGGTGGCACAGAGCTTGGTTGAGCATGCTCGCACCCTAGTTGCCCGTCGTTCGGAAACGGTGGATACAAACGTGGCTCCGACCGTGCACGAACAGCTTTTCACTACCAACTTCCGGTTCGGTTTAGACCTTCTCTCACTGAACATTCAGCGAGGTCGAGACCAAGGAACTCCAACGTACTTACAGATGCTGGAGGCCTGTAGTAATGTGCAGGTAAAGTACTGGGGCGATCTTAACCGTCTAATGGACCCTGATGTTGTTGACCGGCTTCGGTACGTTTATGATGACCCCCGAGACGTGGACCTCTTCATCGGTGGGCTGAGCGAGCAGCGAGCCCCTGGTGCTCAAGTGGGACCCACCTTCCAGTGCGTGATCGGCCAGCAGTTCACTGACGCACGCTTTGGAGACCGCTTCTTTTACGACAATGGTGGCTTCCCACATAGCTTCACAGTCGCGCAGTTGGAGGAGATAAGAAAGAGCAGCTGGTCGCGTATTCTGTGCGACACTCTTGGCCCCGAGTTCGGAGACGACTTCACCAGGGTTCAACCTTTGGGTTTTATAGAGACTCTTGGCCTAAACCAGATAATGGACTGTCAATCGCTGGCGATTCCTACCGTTGACCTCGGGGTGTTCTAAACGAGCTCCTTCCTGCCCTGATGCAAGGCATGTGCGCATGCCGTTAGCAGTCCGAGTTTTTTTTTAGCCGTGAACATTAAGTCGCGGACTACGTGTCGAAGCAGCTCGTCAGAAATGTCTAAAAAAAATTGGGAGATCTCTGCGATGAACTAAGGTTCCAGCACAGAATTGCATATCTAGTAGATTTCCAGTATTATGCTGAAATCTAGATCCTGAATATTGTTATTTCTGGCATATGGTTACCTGCTCAACACCGTCTTATGTGTTGCTTAAGTATACATAGTTCTCGAGACAACATGAGAGTATTAAGTGCTAATATGACTCATTCAACTTCATTCGACCTGCTAACACCTGACAAACTTCCATTACACCCGCCAAACGTCAAATGAACCATCGCTCTTTATAATTGCCTCAAGCGGTTTGGCAAAAGCTTCATAATGTATTGTTCCGCCTTTCTTAAGGCAGCTTATATTTTGACACATTATTGGCCTCTAAGGCCCACCTAGTGGGACGAAAGTGACAAACTCTAGTAGGGCGAGCTATCTGCATTGATAGCAAAACTTTAGGCCCAGCCGTAAAATCCAATCTGCGAAGAGATAGAAGGTAAGTTATTACGTTCTGCCATCCAAGGAATGAACGCAAAAAAAGTTGAGAAAGGATGACAACCTGCCCGCCTCATCTTCTTTCATGTGAAAATACAAGATTTATTCATGAATTTTCGGTGCTTCCGTTGTCTCACGTCGAAGGCTTCTAACAAAGTGGTAACACCAAAGGGGCAGGAGTGACAGTGAGGGCAGGAAGTTTGTCCGCTGTAATCACTTTGCACTGGTAGTACCTTACTCACTATATGAAAAGTCATTAGCTTGACCAACGTCAAGGATACAGAAGTCTTTCGGGTAGCGCGCGAAGGCTCAGCGGGATGTCGGCACACTTGGTTGCAGTCATTTATTTCCAATTAGTTTCATCACTGGACAGTGCTAAATTCTTTCTTTTAAGTTATTCAAGTTAAGTTATCTAACAAGTTTAAAAGTTTGTTAAAATTTGGAATTGATCGTGAGCCAGACGCCAATAGTTACAATGATTGATGCGTCAACAATCACTTAACCTAACAGGCAAGTGCTGTTTGTGAGCGCAGGCCGTCCGTGGTTACAGCGAACAGCGGTGGGTGACAGAACTTGTCAAGGAGAGGTACCTGAGGGGCGGCGCCCGCACGATGTGCGGCTGTCGTGGAAAAATCTCGGCTTGATATTGTGAGTGCATTAGTTGAAGCTGAAAGTGGTTCAGAGATGTATGTCTACATTGTGCGGAGTTGTGCAAGGAGGTTATGGGCTGTATCCGCACGATGGCTGGGACACCGAAAGCCTGACCGTGTGAGGACGTTTGAGGACGTTAGGCATGCAGTTTAGAGATGGTGCCAGGCAATCAACAGAAAGGCTATGATAGACACGTGATTTTTCTTGTTTGGCTTCAGGTGTGGACGTTGTGATGGATTGTTACTGGGCATAGGTGTGTGGACGTGGGAATTGCATGTGAAACAAAATGTTTGTCAATGTGGTGACCTTCTTGCGAAATACAACGGTTCTGGTAGGAATGCATTTTCGCTTCGATGTTTCTGAAGTATTCGACGTTTGAAATGGGACAACCGGCCACGTAAGAGTCGGTGGTCACGAAAGAGAGAGAAATGACAATTGACCGGTTTCCAGCCTGGACCTTTTGAACTGGGCAATGTGCAAGCGAGATTCATAAGACTGTTGCAGTGAAATTCCAGTCTCTCGCCAATCAACAATTCGTAAGCTATTAATCGATCTGCACTCCTCACAGGAAAGCCTTCAGGCCCGAGGACAGCTACCTGGGTCCTGGGTACTACCTGGGTAATAATAAGTGTAGAATGTTTAAGAAAATTATTGTGTCATAATGCCAGCGATTACAAGTTTGACCATCCTCATGCTCTCCACAAACAGGCTAGGGGTTAAAGGGTTGGGCTGTTAAATGCCTGCTTTTGAGAGAGTCTGTCTCTTTAACTGATGCACCCAAATGACAAGGACTTCCTGATTTTGACAGGCTTTCTAACCTGCGCCAGAGTCTGAGACTATCGCGCCGGCTGGGGGGGGGGGGAGGGGGAGTCTGAGACTATCACGCCGGCTGGGGAGAGGGGAAGTCTGAGACTGTCGCGCCGCCTGGGGGAGGGGAAGTCTGAGACTATCGCGCCGCCTGGGGGAGGGGAAGTCTGAGACCATCACGCCGGCTGGGGGGGGGGGGGGGGGCTAGGAGTTTACTCCCGCTGGGATGTTCAACTTTGGGATAGCGTATGAGAAAAGCACAAATACTGTTGTAAAGATCATGTCAAATTATGAGAAATGTACCACAACTTTTTGACCTTAGGTCAAACGCGAGGTTATGAAAGGTTAAACACGGTCGCTCTGATAGATGCAATGCTTACAAGTCAAGACAGATATCGGGGGTACGGAAATCAGCGTTAAGACTGTGGAGAGTCCATTCCAACCATTTCTTATCTCCTCAAGGGTCAGTTCATGTCCCGTTGCCCTCGTTGCCCGCTTAAAGAACGATACTTTTCATAACGTGCTTCTGATTTTGATTTAGAGAGCGCATTTCGCCTACCCTCCCTGCAACACAGACAAACCTATTCTATGGGTCGGTGATTGATCGCGGGACGTGGCCGATGATTTTTGCCACTTGAATCAACCGTCCGTTTTTGAATGATGACAGCACGCAATGTCATTGTATTAAACGAAATTGTATTGTATCGAAAAGTGAAACACGGTCGGTATCGGCCAAATGATTTGTCCTGGCTCGCACGCACGTGACGCTACAGACTATGTCACGTGATTGGTGTGGTCTGTAGCGTCAGTAGCACAGGATGAGTGTCGTATAGAGAGGGAATGAGTCGGCCAGCACGCCGATGTGGTTTGCAACGCTAAATCACACAGTCTTCACGGTAGCCGCTTGAATTCGGCTTTGGTTTTTAAGGCTCAGCCCATTGCAAATTGTATTGCGATTTCCAGCGCAACAATGCGTTGCACAAACTCCGATGCGACTGAAAGTGTACCCGCGTGAATTGTGAATGTTGGGAAACAAAATCAACGCCTGTACGCGCACGGCGACAGTCACACACAGCGCGCCACCGACCGCAGCGCCTGGGCCGGCATCACTCCTGCGGACGACCTCCGCCGGTCCACAGCCGGACGGGCCGAATGCACGCCGGAACCCTCGCTCTCCAATATGGCCGGCTAAATGAACAAAGTCGAAAGCCCGCCGCGCGAACGGCCATTTTAAACCTTAATGCCCAGGACATACGCCGGGAGCTGGGGCAATAATTTGCGGCCGTCGTGGCGAAAAAGCCGTCATGCAGCCCCTTAATCTACGCTCGTTTGCGGGCGACATTTTCTTAAATGCGGTCAACAAAAGGGTACATCAGAGACAGGACGAATCGGCCGACACGCTGATGTAGTTTTCAACGCTAGATCACGCATCGTTATGACGGTAGCGGCTTGTATTCGACGCTGGTTTTTAAAATTAGGCCCGTTGCAAATTGCATTGCAATTAGCAGCGCAACGGTGCGTTGCAAAAAGTCGTGATGCGCACTGAAAGTAAAGCCGCTTCAATTGTGAAAATTGGGAAACGGCATTCAGGCCTCTAGGTGCTATGCGCGACGAGCTTTAACGGTAAACGTAATAACCCGCCAAAAACAGCCGATTTCAATTGTCAACACGTGTGCATGTACCACGTGTCACGTAGCACAAAAACTCACTTGATTGCGGTGGCCCATTCTATGCTCTATCGCACTGTGCAAGTTTCATGTCGCTGCGACTCTTGGTTACCGGTATACGGCTTCGGGAAGCGAGGCGTGTCAGACCGTAGGGCGGTCGTCTTTTTAAAACTGGCGTCGTCCGCGTTAACGCTATGGAATTTTTGCGTTTTTTCGGCACGCGCTCTTTTTGCAAAATGCGGAGTTTTGACGCGTCTCAGAAAAGCGCAGCCGACGCATCTCGGTCGTGTGCAAATTTCACCCCAAAATTCCTTTCCCTTTGGCCTGTAGGTGATGCAACGGACACACACATACACTGCTCCTTTAGTTATATTACGATGCATCTACAGGTTCTCAAGATGATTCTGAAAGCTGTTGTTTACATTATGCACAGTTCCTTCCATGCTAAGCAATGTATTTGTAACAACCTTAGCACAGACACGTTGGAACCTGAAATTATGCGTCATCAGCTTCACAAACACGATAAGGCGGTGGTTTCATAAGTCGTACCCATTCATCTAGGCTTTGCGCCACAATGCAGGTCGTTGACCTTGTATGACCTCATGCGATCTTGCATGCCCTCACGTGACCCGTTGTATCTTCTGTATTCTCATTATGTATTCGACTGAAATCACATGTTTGCAGTGGAGTAGTTGAATTCTGCGATGTAATAAAACTGCCTACTTTGAGCTCAGCATGTGTTTTGCAAGAGACATCCATAAAGGTAGGTCATCAATTGATTTAAGATCATGTGCTCCGTGGTCATGTAATGATTGTGCATGTGCGCTAGTACTCTTTTTCTCATGTACAAGCAGCAAACTGCACAAAAATACGTACAAAGTTGCATCTTTGACCAAAAATGACAAACCTTGACCTGGCCTTAGACCACTGACCTTGCCTGTTTCAAAATATATTTAATATTTAACTATAGCTGCTATTATGCTCTATTACAAATAGAGGTTTAAATAATGGCAAAAACTCACAAACAGTTGAGCGAAGTCAACAGTTTATTAGAGGTTGACCTCCTTGCACTGACCTTGTTAAATGATCTCAGCAGATCAAAGCTTCAAACCTGTACAAATATATCAGATTAAGAGATGCACAGGTACGACAAAATTAGTGCCGCTGCGACCATTTGTTTTAGATCTGTGCTAAAAAGCAGACATAAATAAAATAAAAAAACCGGGGAGTTAACTTTCCCGGGCCGGGCGCGAGTTAAACAGGTTGGGATACTTATTTCGCTCCTTCTTAAGGGACCCCCAGGTCTCAAAAGGCATACAATAGGCATGTCCTATTCAGCCAACCCACAGTTTATTTTCAAAGAATGGATGGGTAATGGCGGAAATGCACTTTCCCATTTGGCTGGGGGAGGGGCATCATATACGGTGCCTCTGGTCGCTCACAAGCCGTCTTACCTGATCAGTGCTCTTCTGGCTACTGAAGGGCCCCTTTGGTTATTGAGGAACCTTTTATGGGTGGGGTCCCTCTCTGGCAGCTCAGCGACTAAGCACGCGCTCGGGTGGGGGCCAAATTGACCGAGGGTGTTTCCGGGGTGGTTTCCGAACGGCGCCACACGGCGGTGTCAATTTTTTCTTAGTTGTGTAAAATGGAATAGCGGATCGTGCAGCATAAAAACATGTACATATACATGTATGTTTTAAGGTCGCTGACCTACGGCAGGTTAAAGTCAAGCCATGGATTCAGCGAAGCCAGTTTCTAGGGAATCGTTCAGTCTGATGCAACAACATAGCGTTAGACGGAGCCATGTATCTTGAGATACTTTCCTAGGCAACACAACAATTGAATGAACAAATTACATCGACCTATGGTCAGGTGTAAAGATCACACCTAGGTCAAAACCAGCCTGTTTTACTACTATAGGGCTTGCTGTGTGGGGTAGTTTCTGGTGCTCATTTCGAATTTACTGATAAAAGGAGCCGCATTATATACCTTTCATAGACTTCTTAAAGGTCAGGATAGGTCATTGATCTAAAACAACCCAGATCAACGTTTTGTTTTTAGGAACATTCTGCCAAGCGTCATCTTTGTCACTTATTCAAACACAAAACTCAAGGCAGTCTTCTATGATTTTGGTCATCATGACCTTATAATGTTCAAACAAGGTCTGACGTTAAAGGAGTATGTGACCTTTTTCTTAGAACAAGTATCTAGGTTCTGGGGACACTTTGGAAATCAACTTGGAGTTTAACCTTGTTTGACCTTATTTGACCCAACAGCATTACTTAGGATCCTCAAAAGTTGGCCTAAGTGAGTTCACGTCCAGGCCAATACACCCTGCAAATGTTGTGTCTCTAGCCCTCTTAGTTCCTGGGATCTCAGGGGGGTCAAATTGACCCCACCCCAGCAAAGGGCATCCAGCCGGCCACCCGGGTGCGTGTTAACTGATCACGCAGACCCCCAGGTACCAAATATGAAATTTTGATCGTTTATGGACCCTTCTGGGCATCGAAGCATTCGTTTAGTTGCTGACGGCCCACCGGCCGCCCATTGATCTATTTGGACGCCAGAGCATACATCTATCACTAAACGACCCTTTTTTGGATACTTGCCTTTGGGGAGGGAGGTGATAAGTGCTCAGAAGCTTGTCAGGCTGCTGTGGAACCGCCCTAAGGTATTTCTGAGGAGCTTTCTGACTACTGAAATTATTTCCGATTTCTCTGGGCCGCTGTCCGGTCAGGACTTCATTGGTAGCTCGAATCCCTTTATATCCCATTAGCTTCTGGGTGCTTGTGGGTCTTTGAGGTGCACAGGGCCTAATTTCCCTCCCAAAGGCCGCTCGGCCACCACAGAGCACC